CCCCAGTGCTCAGTTTAAGCAAGAGCAGACAAATAGTATCTTTAACCATTTCTCTTTCCTCTCTAGCTCTTGGGGGCTTTCTACCTATATTCAGCTGGAAATAGCTTTAGGGAACTTTGTACTGAGAACCTGTAGAGGCAGTGTTAGACTTTCCCACCTAGGGAGAGGTTGGAAGGAATCTGGGATGGAGCAGAGAGTGTAGGTATAGGTAGGTGGTATAGGTAGTAGAGCAGGCCTGGGTGGGAGTCTACAGTGTAGGCCGGAATCGCCCCTGGAATCATCTCTTTATTTCCAGGGTACAGCTAGTTCCTAAAGGTGTTTTATCAGTGTTTTCCCAGCCTAGACTTCTTGGTGCCACCTTCAGCAGAGAGGTGGGTGGTGGCCCCCTTAACTGCTGGGAAAGCTATCTTTGTGCCTCCACACAGTCGTTTCTGCCTGCTAGTGCCAAGCAGGCAGCTGGTTGTCTGCTTCAAGTGTTCTTCTTGACCCAAGGAACTGGGACATGGATGGAAGGATACCTATTTTCTCCTCAAGCCTGGTCTTGAGGGAGAGGGATCTGAGTATGTTAACCCTCCAGGCATTAGGACAGCTTGGGAGTTCTTTTTCCCCCTCTAGGCCTGGTCAGCTAGGAGAGTCTCTTGCTGTGGAGGAATCAGCTTGGTTTAGGTTTGAGCTAGATGGGGATGAGCAATTTACCCTATAGCCTATTCCTTCAACCCCTCTAACTTTGTTCTAAGTTCTCGGAGTCCCTACTAATAAGGCCTGTGGATTATATTTGGTCCAGCAATTGAGTCCCCAAGGTTTCTACTTCTAGGATTTAAAAGAGGGCAGCCAGGGAGAAGGGGAGGGGAAGGGACTGGTTGCGAGAAAAAAGATGGCAGGAACTAAAGTCTGAAAGCACTTAACATCATGATCCTTGGCATTTTTGGCATTTAACTCTTTCCTCTGTGGGCCTGGGACTTTTCTCCATCTGTGTTTCGAGGCTTGTTCAGCTACTGCTGTCCTCATTAAGGGCCTTAGATCAGCATGTGCTTGGTAATTGCCTGTTCAAAAATTCACTGATCCCAGCCTCTGGCCCAGCTACTGCCCCAGGAAGCTAAAGCCTAAGATGTAACTGTCAGCTGCCTTCCTCCCTGCTCCTCTCCCCCTTCCTCCCCCACCACCCAATGCTGCTTTGGTCACTTGAGCCAGAGGCATTAGCTGCCTTGGGGTTGGGTGGGGGAGTAGGAGAGAGTCTTCTGCCAGCTTCAGTTTGCTAGTGTCCTCTCATTCCAGGGAGCCTGTGCTGGATGCTTTCCTGGATGATGGCTTCCTCATCCCCACATTCGAGCAGTTGGTGGCTTTGCAGATAGACTATGAAGGTAGGGATCTGGGGGCTCAGTGCAGCCTTAAGGTTCTGTTTCCTCGGTGGGAACACTAGAGGTGGGCTGGGAGGCAAGGGCTGTTTCCTGCCATTCCATGGCCTTTGGAAGCCCTGCAGCCCTCCTGGCAGAGCAGAACAGGTAGCCCCACTGATATGCAGTTGTTGGGCTGTCCTTAGGTGGCCTGGATCACGGGGGGTGGGGGGTGAGAGTACAGTGGGG